ATCAATTCATTATAGAACTGCATTATAGAAATGGAATCATCCTATTGGACATTAAATGCAGTGATAGTCGTAGTAGAAGAAAAACACCACATGAACAGATTACCATCTTTCTGCAGATGAAATGGGTTATCGCCCGATCAGCGCAAGCCCATGTGGCAAAGTATAGTATTTCTTATCTGCTTTTTACAAAATGCCTGCAGATACAGAGTACTGGCTACAGGACATAGCAGCAGGTGCCGTTTGTGCGAACAAGGAGTCCAACCATTGCCACCATAATACAGAAACCACGTGATTTAAGGGAACGCATTCACAAACTTCCTTGAAAAACTACCAAAGGTAACCTTCACTCCCACTACAGCAAAAAACAACACTTCTTCTACTCTTCTTATTCTGATGTGAACCATTTGAATTTCAGCGACAGTGTACTTAAAAAGAAACGTTTGGCTTACCTGTGTTTCTTTTTCTGTCCGGGATGTGCATTTATCCGGGTGTACCGTTGTTCTCCGGCAGCTAGCAGCCCTTAGCCCCTCAGTGTGCCATTGGACTAAGTCACACTGAGCATGGGAAAATGGTAAAGGTGTTCAACCACATTAAAAGGGAAGGTTGGAGAGCTGAGCGGCCTATAATTCAGAAAGCGACACATTGGATGGCGCCACCATAGCCCTGTCATTAGATCGATTTACTAAACAAACTCAAACTAGGGTGGGGATGTTAAACAGTAACCCAGGACCATAAAACTGAAAAGGAAAAGATCACCAGGTGTGAGTCTGTGTGTGTGTGTGTGTGTGTAGGTGTGTGTGCCCTCTGAGGGTAGAAAGTATGAGATCCAAAAAAGGTTTGAGATAATGTTTCACAAAATAATGGGGGAGACATAACAATTTACAGCATTTATTTCTCTTCTTCACATCGGCTATGTAGACAGGATTTAACTGTTAAGTGCAAATACAGTTAAAAAGTATTCACTTCCACTTAGAGTCCTTGTACACAGACTTACAGAAACAATATCCTGGGGTCTCCAATTTCATAGTCTAACATTATAAATTCCAAGTATGAAGCCTTTCTATTATAAGCACAAACCAGCAAATTGCAAGAGCGCCTGCATTAGGAAATAAAATCGAAAGACAGTTTTAAAGTCCTTAAATGTTCTCATGAATAAAAACACGACTTGCTGTGACACAGTACACATATATAGTAATAACAACAGTAAAAGTTTAAAAAAAGCACAGCTTGAAAAGTGTGTGTCTGTGTATGTGTGTGTGTGTGTGTGTGTGTGTGTGTGTGTCAATTGAAAAGTTTGTGTCTGTGTATGTGTGTGTGTGTGTGTGTGTGTGTGTGTGTGTCAATGGTACAAAAATTGTAAAACTGCAAAAGCGTAACTAAGGACATCGTCAGGGGTCTGTCAGTTTTATTTTTTGAAACTCTGTATATATTAAATTATGTTCAAATGTAAAGTGATCTGAAAGACTTGGAGCCAAATAAGCCACTAAGGGAATATTTTGTCTGACTAAGGTCAATATTTATTGTTAGAAACTGAAAGTTGAACCTAAGCTTATAATCAGAACCAGTGTTTATGCGTCATTCGGAGTTGTCTGCAGTCTTTTTTTTCATGTGCAATTTTCATGATAATTTTTGTTTTTTAATCATTTTTTATGCTATTTCAAGCACTTCAAAAGCAATAAGATTAAATTGTTTAAATTTATGGAACTGTACCAGAACCCTGACAGGCATAAAAAAAGAGTGAAGCAAACACAGTACCAGCAGCTTTTAAGCAGCTTTTCCTACAAAGCACATGTTACAGGACCTCCTCCCCAGGAAAGTAAGCATGTCCAAACAGTTAAAAGTGGTTATGCTCAGAAATATTTCATTTGTACCCTCTAATTCTTTTATATTGTTTAAGTAGGACAGTCGAAAAATGTGGTAGGGAATGAAGCAGATGACCATGACTAGCGCAAAGCACAGGCTCTTCAGCTGAGCTCCGAATTCCTGCTGAAAGGTGCATCCCTCCCGATGCTTCTTGTATAAAACCCATAGGACATTGGCCTGGAAGGCTGTCAACACAATGGCAATGACTATAATCAATATGCTTGTCAGGTAGTTCAAAATCAGAACAGATTCTATAGATTTTCCAAACTGGAAGCAATGAATGTCATTTTTGTTATGGTCTTTGCCATAATTAAAATGGATGATGAAAGGGACAGTGATCAGCACAATAATCCACACCAGAAAACTGATAAGGATCGCATGCATCCTGTGAAAGGACGCCACCTGGCAAGCTTTCTTGTAGAACGTCAACAGACGGGTGATGAGGATAATCACATACAGGACAAAAGACATGTACATGTGGATGTGGATCATGCTGCTGGTTATTTTACACCATTCATCGCCCAACTGCCATTTAT